CCCTGCTAGCTTGAGAAAGAAATCTCAAAGTCCCTCTTCCCAGCTCCAAGGGAAGCCCGAGTTCTAGCTTCAGGACCCAACTGTGCCTCCATCTTCAATTATGATTTCTAGATTTCCATCAGAGTCTGTGGCCCTCCAAAGTGTGGTGGGTCCTGGTGGGTGTGTGCACGGGTGTGAAGGTTGGATGGATGAGGAGATATGGAGCTTCTTGCTTAAATAAAAGGCTCTCAAACCATCAGTATTCACTTAGATTTTTTTTTTCTTTGTAAGGCGCAGGGGTGGGAGGGTGCATGTGTACATGTATGCATGCACACGTGTATATAGTTATATGCATGTGTATATACACATGTACACTCATTAATTTGCTCAGATATCGCCATTAAAGTTAGAAAGGACCCAAGAGGCCATCAAGTCCAGGGGTTCTTTTTAAAAACATATACATTTTTTCAAGTTGATTTAAAATTTTTTAGTCCATAAAAAGTAACAAAAAAAATTATTTGATAACTGATTTTAAAATATTAATTTCCTCTGTAATCCTATGTGTTTTGTTTTATGCATTTAAAGACGATTCAGAAAAGGGGCCCATAGTCTTCATGAGACATTGCCCAAGGGAGCCCCATGACACACACAGGTTAAGAACTCCTCGACTAGTCCAGACCTTTCCTTTTAAAGAGGTATAAAGGGAGGCCTAGAGAATGGGGCAGCTAGGTGGCACAGTGGAGTCAGAAAGATTCCTCTTCCTGAGTTCAAATCTGGCCTCAGACGCTTACTAGCTGTGTGACCCTGGGCAAGTCGTTTAACCCTGCTGGCCTCAGTTTCCTCATCTATAAAGTGAACTGGCCAAAGAAAAGGCAAACCACTCCAGCGTCTTTACCAGGAAAACCCCAAAATGGGATCATGAAGACTCTGAAATGACCAAACAATGACAGGGAATGGAAATGACTTGACCAAAATGACACAGATTGTCAACAACAAAGCCAAGACTCCTGTTCTATGGAGGGCACCATCCCCTGTTACTTGACCATATGAGAAAGAAGACAATCAGGATGACGAACCTGGAGATCTTGCCGTACATTAATCAACAAAAAGAACTGGGAAGGCTTATTTAGCCTGGAGAAGACTTGGGTGGGGAACAGGAGGCTATGTGTGATGATAGCTGTCTTCAAGTATTGGAAAAGCTGCCATGTGGGAGAGACCAGTGGTTCAAAGAACACTGAACCTGGAGTCGCAGGACCCGAGTTCGAATTCTGACTCTGGCGCTTAGTGTTTGTGTGACCTTAGTCAAGTCATTTAACCCCCTGAACCTCAGTTTCCTCATCTGTCAAATGGAGTGGGGGGAGAGCAATGATTTCTAAGGTCCTTTCCAGCTCCAGATCTTTGATCCTGTGATGAGATTTGCTCTTCTTGACTCCAGAAGGAACAACAAGGTGGGTGGCATGGGCCAGGGCAACAGCTCCCAATTCCCTGGGTTTTTGAGGTCTCTAGAGCCCACCTCTCACAATGATCCTTTGCGAGGCTCGTCATTTCACAGATGCTGACGCCTCAGAAGGACATTGTGGGGCTCACATAGGCCGAGAAAAGGGGCTTTGATAAGTCAAGAACATAAGACAAATGCGAGGGACGGTGCTACCTGAGGAAAAGAGAGAAATGTGTAGCCAGAGAAGATCAGGAGAAAGTCCAATGAAGGAAAAGAAGGAGGAGGATAGTGACCCCAGGGACTTGGGGACAAAGACTCTGGCTCAGGTCCCACCCCTAAGGCTTGTATGACGGTGGTCAAGCCACTTGGCCTCTGTAGACCCACCCTGCCTACACCCCCTCCCCAGGGCTGTTATAAGGATCAGATGAGATGAAAGGGTAAGAGGAAATCTGGAAACCATAACGTGTTATATGAATAACAGTCACTTGTTCTGAAGGACTCTGGACCCGAGCACCAGGAAGACACAGCCGCTTGGAGTTCTTCGAGGGCTGCCTAAGGGGTAATCTCTCTTGAACCTGAAGGCTATGCCTGGAGAAACAATTCAAAGGGTCACAGATTCCTCGAAGTGGCTAAGCTAAGTAGAACTCTGGAAAAAAAAAATTTTTTTAATTAAATTGGACTATGCTAGGCTGCATGACTATGCCATCTATCTATAACTTGGCCTGTGTCTAGCTGGTACTCAAATTTTTAGTCGTTATGTGATTTTACACAGTCAGGCCAGAATAAGAGAACAATGATTTATTAATGGACCTACTAAACAGTATTGTTTAGGGATTTTACAAATATCACTTCATTTTTTAATAATATATCCTGAAGCAAGGTATGAACCCAGGTCTTTGTGATTCCAAATCCAGCACTCTATCCCCAATACCAAGAGGGAATCAGAAGCTCAGAGAGTGAAAGGGACTTCCCCAAGGTCACATAGCTAGTAAGTATCAGAAGCAGGATTTGGGGCCAAGGGCTTCTTGGCTTCCATCAAGAGGCCCAGAGAATGAAAGGGACCTCCCCAAGGTCACACAGCTAGTAATTATTGGAAGCAAGATTGGGGCCACGGACTTCCTATCTTCCATCACTCTCTCCACCATACCACTCCTTTTTACAGCATGGGAAGCTGAGGCCAAGTGAATAAAAGAGACTTCCCAAGGACCCACAACTAGCTAGTGTCCAGGGTGAGATTCTCCTCACTTCACATTCACGGCTTTATTAAGCAAGGATTTGTTAAGCACCTACTAATCAGTAGTATATAGGGGATTTACAAATATTACGTCAGTTTTATTTTAGTATCCCCAATTTTACAGATGGGGAAACCGAGGCAGAGAGAGATCAAGTGACTTGCCCAGGGTCACTGAGGCTAGATTTGAACTCAACTCAAGTCTTCTTGACATTGGGCCCAGTGTTTCTAGCCACAGCACCACATAGTTCCCTACACCTGAAAGGGATCTGAAAGTCCAATCCTAATGTGGCCTGACCCTTTTGTTTTAGAAGGTAAGCTCCTTGAGGGCAGAGCCCATGTCACTTTCTCACATCTGTTTCCTTAGCATCTACCATCATTCCTGGCACATAGAAGGCACATAATAAATGTTTGTTGATGGATTGCACTCATGTGAAGAGACCCATGATTACACACAGAGTGAGTGATAAAGTCAGCAATCTCCACACTCAAAGCCATTTACCATGCTCTTAAAACACTGGCTCAAGGTGACATTTGCAAATGACTTCATGGAGGAGAGTGAAGACCCAGGGCTTTAGCCTCAGAAAGGAAAGCTCCCTTCTTTGAGGCCCTTGGGTGTACCAGCTGCAGACATGACCAGCAGCAAATATTTATTTCATCACCCGTAGGCCATGCCAGCTTCACGCTCTGCAGCCATCTGCCCAGTCGATGTGTGGCCCAGCTCAAGCAGGGGATAACGAAGGCCTGGACCAGGGAGTCCTAGCCCAGCAGCTCACAGGCATCTCATTTATCAATTAGAGGAGAGGGCAGATCTTCTCTAAGGTGCCTTCCAGCTCTAACCTCCACGATCCTTCGGCATCCAATCGCCACCCTACCAGGGCAAACGGCTTTGACCATTCTACCCTGGATGAGGCCCAACAGGTGGATGGTGGTAGGGGAGGGCACAGGGTATGTGCCCAGGAAAGGGTGCCATCCCCCAGGGGAGAGAACAGCACATCCTGGGCCCCTCGATACCCAGCACGTCAGGAACGTTGATCCCCATCCCCTGACAGCTGAACGGAAGCTCACATACCATTGCCCTCCGACCGCCCTCCCCTTCCCCCCCCAGGCCGCAGCCTTCGCTCTTCTGGTCCTGCATTGAGTTTGGGGCTGGGACAGGGGGAAATTGGGGTACAGAATAGGGAGGTAGGTCTCCTGTCAACTCCCCTCCCTTTTCCAACCCCATTTGTCTCCCTCCTCCTTCCTCCTGCCCCAGGGAGACTTTCTACGAGAAACTGTTCCTCGTCAGACATAAGGAAGTTTGATCTCCAAGTTGTTCCCAAGGGCCCCTCTCCAGACCTGCCCTGCCTCC